TATGGTATTGCCAAGTGAGTAAGTTTTGCTTATGGGGTGTATTACACTATCCAAACAAATTCTAGTACTTTATGCAAAATGATTTCTTTCCCTCCCARGCAAAATTTAAATTAAAAAAGCATCAGGAGACCATAATAATGAAAATAAAGGCAGACTTYTCTGTCAATTGAATCAACATCTTCAAAGGATTTAGAGCTTCTTTAGGCCATAAAGTTTAGACAACAATTATCTATCTTAAAAATGATTATGGCGATAGTAATGTAACACACCCAATTGTCACATTACAATACATCAATGTAATGAGCCAACCACTTCAGACTTATTTCAACAAATGTGTATGGATGAATTTCCACTTACASCTAGTAAGGCATAAATTGAATAGATACTGAGAATTTCACACAGTGAAAGGACAAACTAACTGCATGGGAAAAAGCACAGCTTTGCTGGAGTGGAAGTCTCATGCCCACTTTTCTCATACTTGACCATTTTGCTTAAAATAATGATTTCATTGCTATGTACAGCTGCAAAGGAGGAGCGGCTCACACCCCTCTTTCTACTTGGACCTGCATGCCATCAATAGCCTAAGCATTTAGTGACATTGTATGAACTTGCCCCAGTTTGTGAATATTTACAAGAACTGTTTTTATTTCCTGGATGACCATATTAACTTAGTTGACCAGCAGATACAAATTTCCATTTTCCTTCAACTTATGCCTCATTTGATCTTACAGCCTTCATACAGTAGAATAATTTTTTTTCTTTACTGGCTTCATGGCTGCTCAACAAAAGGAAATGTCTCTTCAAACTGCTTAAGTTCTGGGACTCTTCCTTTCTTAAACAGAGGCAGACAGCAGATGGGAACTTGAAGATATTTGAAGAAGAACCTCCAAGCTTTGATTACTAAACAGATACAGATGCTCCAAAATGGTATTTTGTGTGGTTAAAAATAGAAGTATTCCTATCTTAAAGCTGTTTAAAAACATGCCTGAATCAAATGAACCTCATTAAGCTTGAGGATAATTCACTGTAGTCTGTGGATAGCCTTGGTGTTATGGTATCTGCTTACATCAGTACTGAGTTTCACCCAGAGYGTGTTTGGAATGATGAGGATTATAAAAAGTTATTGTATATGAAATGCTATGTTATGTCACTATCATACTGCTACAGCTTGTAAATTCACATTGATCTGTATAATAAAAGATGTTTACAGCACTAATGAACTCAATCAAGTGCATGTTTGCCAATACATAAAAAAATAACAAGCCATCTTTCCGGGCATTTGATTTCCAGGAGATAATCCCAGACAGAACTCTGAAGATTAGAGAGAGAGAGAGAGGAGATAAGAAGCTGTGACAGGCTGGCAGTATCTGCCTGAAACACCATTCCCTGTTAGCAGGTGTTGGTGCTGCTGGGAAACTGTTGCATGGATTTTGCTAACACACTGAGCAGATGGCTTATAAAAGAAATGAGTGTTGCTTTTTGAAGCAAAAATTATGTATGGACTGAGAAGTATTGTAGCAAGAATCTCAAGAGAATATAAACTATAGGGAGAGAATTTGAGCTAAACCTTGTTTCTTCATTGGTAATGTTTTCCAGGCTGACATTAGGAAATGGGTGGTTTATGACAGCACAGACTATGTTTGGACATGGCTTTATAGCAACTGGGAAAATGCACCTGTATAGAAAAGTGTAATTCTCTACTTAGTAAATAGATTCTAAGATGAGTGTTTGTAAACAGAAGAAAACACACTGGGAATAGCTATTATTCCTATTAAAAAGCTATATGCTGATTTTGTTTCAAAGCTTTTAAACTTCATGATTGTCACATTTAATGTTTTGAAGGTCTTTTTGGCATCTGCCGAACAGTTGCACAAGAACAGAGCCTTTTTCAACAGCAGATGTAAAATGCATCTTCAGGTTTTCTGGACCACATCAGACTGCGTATCCCACTGGAGCTCTGTAAGCTGGTGGTTGAGTGAGCAGGAGAAATGGGTCTGCATTACAAAGTCTATTTTGTGATTTTGTTCAAAGAGCAATGTTCTTTAGAGAATTTAATTATCCTCTTTGTAATTTGAAGACATTGTATTTACTGACTTGGAGACGGATCACATATACAGCATTAAARTGCTCAGAATTATTCAGGGAATATGTTAGTAGTAACAGGAAAGGTGAAATAGGAACTGTGCTCAAATAAATCATCAATCTTTTTCTCAAAGATAGAATTGATCTGACTGCCCTCASCGTTCTTCAACAGTAATGATTAAAATTCAAAAAGGAACCCAGATTTTTTTGCATGGAAAAACCTAAGAATACAGATTTCTGAGAAAGCACTTCTTTCCTGATCTCCGGTTTTCTGTCTTGCCTGTTTGTTTATTGGGGAAATTCATAAGATACTCTTCATGCCATATAAGTTATTTTCATTACTAGTTCTATTTCCAATAATTATCTAGGCACATCTGTTTTACAGTGCATCAACATTCAATATTTAAACTAGCTCAATATTAAAAATATAAATCTATTTAATGCTCCTAATTGAGCATCTGTGTATTTAATACCCTGCTTGGGTTCCTTACTACATTTTGTTAGCTTTAATGTTTCAACATGGASGTAGCAAGTACCATTTACTCTCAGAGTGATTCAGAATGCAGATCGCATTAAAAAAAGTAAATCTGATCTGCTTCTGGGAAACAACAACTAAAAGCATGTTCAGGAAGAGATTAATGCCTCCTGCCTCCCAGAAATGGAGAGGAGAAAATGCATTGCTGCTGGCCTTTGCTGGGAGGATGTGGCATGGGCTGTGGTTTCCCAGCTGAGACCACCACCATTGGTACCATCCCTCTGGAAAGAGGAAGCATTAGCTGCACCTTGGAAAGGGAGGCTTTTCCTAAAAACATCCCAGGAACAGAGCAGGCCACAACTGCATTCCCAAGCTCCAGGTTTGCCTGTGAAGYATAAAGCAATAGCTGGGTGCAATCTCTCATCACCAACTCCCGCTTGTGGTTTGCTGCTCTCCCCAATATATAGTAGAGTTTGCTGAGCAAAGGTGTGCACATCGCTTGGGTGGTTTAGGGTATGGAATGTGGACATACAGCTCAAACAAAGCAGTCAGGTCTGCTATGGGCCCAGCCCAAGCTTTGACCCAGAGATAACATCCAATGCATGTAAACCTTGTAAACGGTTTCATCTGCAGTCAGTGGCAGCATTCCAAATGACTAACGGAAAGGGAATCAAGCCTTTCCTTAGGAGCATCCTGCAACACAGATTTTGCATAGCTGTGAGAAAAAAGACTGCTTACATGGGGATGAGCTCAGATCCCATTGCTTTAGCATGGGCTTTCTATCACTAAAATTTAGACCTGTTACTACAAACACTTACCTACACAAATAAGCATGGGAGCTTCTGTCAGATTACATGTTTGTGGCCAGAAATTATATAACTATATCTCTGCAATTCCTTTTTTTTTTTTTTTACAAGCCCAACAAAGGCTTGAATGGCAAATGATAGTTTCTGCATATCCATAAAAACCAGAAGGAAATCTGTCATCGAACCCAATGAAAAATATCAAGTCTGTAAAAAGTATATTCTCTAATTTCACAAGCTACAAATTGATACCACACAGAAGCAATCTGATATCTCTTTAGGATTTCCTAAAGGAGTTTTCATGTGGTTTTCTGTCCTTAACCATCATTTTAGCATTTGCAAGAAGCCCACAATCTGTTTCTATTAAAGTATCAGCTTACCTTGAAAGATGTTAAAGTAGAGCAAAACACTTAAGGCTGATCAAATTGCAATTAAATTTTCATTTAACATTGTCAACTTTGTTTCAGTTCTTTCTGAAAAACAAAATGGAAAACTTGAAACCAAGCCTATTGAATATTTCTTACTGCTTATAAAAGGTAGTTGYAGGCATCCTCATGGAAGGCCTTATTTTAGTCAAGAGATTGTGCAGAAAAGGTTAGACTGGAGTTGATATTAAAGGTGTGTAGTAGAGAGGCTGTGATGTAAGAATGTAATTGTATGAACAAAGAGAATTAATTAACAAACCAGAATAAGTCAATAAAAGACTACAGCTAGTTCCATGGCAAACATAATTCAGCTGAAAATAAACGCCATGGTGACTTCCACTGCTTGTGAATTGAGCTCCTAACCTGGATATAAATACAGAGGATACTACATAATCTATTGAGATAATGGACTGAATTTCAGTTAAGGACTTATTCCTTAAGTATTTTTTTTTTTTTTAAGAAGTTTTTTATTATTATGATAAATTTAAAATATTGAGAAACCTTTCTCTATTTTTTTTAATCTTTAATGCGTTTCTCTGATTAGGTCACGTGCCTTTACGTGAGGATGCAAAGTATTTCAGGAAAAGCCCGAAATGCCTCTTTTAAGAGTGGTAAACAGCGGTTGTGCAAACGTGAGGAAAACATCTGGCTACGGGTCCAAATGGGAAGAGAAAAAACCTGTTTGGACCCGAGYGCAGGAGCACTGATTTGCGGATCGGGCAGGGGCCGGCGAGCAGCGCAGGGAGCCGCCGGCAGCTCCGGGCCCGCGGGCGCCTCCACCCGCTCCGGCCCCACGCGCCGCCGGGCCCGCGGC